ACTACATCAAAAAGAGGGAATCGAATCCGGTAGCTGACACCTTGAAGGTGGAGTGATAGCATTCTTATCGAGATAAACGATAAAAGCACCGGGTAGAAAATGTGGATTCTGATGAAGAAATACAACTTGAAGGGATAGTTCTGGCCTATTTTCTGGAAACGTGACACTTTGCCAAGCAAATGGCCTGAATACCTCATCAAATTCAACCCAGTCTCCTCACTTGCATGGGAAAGACTGAGTTTTTCATGAAAACCCCTCTGAACCCCAACAAGTCATTTCTACATCTTAAAGACTGCTTTGAAGGAGTTGACTGACACTAACCAGAAGAGCGAAGACAGTGAGCTTCTCAAGTAAGTTTTCCAAATCGACTGGAACCATTGACTTTGAGGCAGATTTTGAAAAAGTAGTAAAACCAAGCGAAACATATTTACCTTGTTCGGCAAATATTAGTCCACTGATCGCACTGCTGGGTACACAAGCACATAGCAAATCTCTAGCAGAGGAACATTCAAAAGACAAGTTGTCCAATGTACATTCCTGAAACCAATTTTTAATAGTTCCAATAGTTTCTAAGGACTAAATTAAAGGATCTTCATAATACAGTATACTTACTGTGTAGTTGCAAGAGGATGGAGGTGCGACACTATGTGCCAGTATCATATTCACGATCAGTAGTTCGATTCCCGCCAAGGTCATCAAAGGATTTTCCCGTTTTCTCACAATCAGTTAATTTTGAAGGGTAGTCATTTGCATAACGTATTAAGGCCTACAATCCCCTGAACTTCACAAACAGCCATCCAAACACCTCAACGATTTCGCATGGGAATTGAATGCGTGGCGAATCACAAACCCAAGACCCAAACCCAGCTTCATCCGTTCGCAATTCTTCAACGATTTCCCTATTCCTTCAGCTATGAGTTCATTTCCTCTTCCCAGAATTCCAGTTGTAAACCCTTCCCTTCTTCCCAAATTCCCCAAAGCTACTATCCCTCTAGCAAACATTCCCCCATGTCATTCACAGGAAGGCAAAATCATCGATTTATTATGTAGCTTCAATAACAACACATTTTTCAAAAATCGTGAACAAATTCAAAAAAGGTTAAAAAGTACTAAAAAGAAAGCTGCAAAACACTACCTTTGAAAACAACATTGCTAGGCATTTGGTTATATTATGTTATAAAGACGCTTGTACAAGAAAAAAGAAAACAGATAGACGAATTAAGTTAACGTGTAGTTATGGCTTAATAGTGAGGACTTATGGCAATAGGAGTACACAATAAGATATTAGAGCCTAGGGGTATCCAGATTCGAGGCGGCAAGCGTGACTCTGCTGTACTTGAGTCTTCCGGCTCTCAGGCCGTGTTATGTACTTTCCTCGCAGTCTTTGAGCTTGGCGAATGCATGAGTTTTTGCCTTCTTGTAGACAGGGAGGAGAGGATTATACCGTAACAGGTAAACAGGAATGCTGACAAACAAATTAACCTCCTATCACCCAGAAGCTCGTTTTCAGAACGTGACGAGCTCTTGATTAAACGGGGTCTTTGTGGCTATGGATATAGGTGCAGCATGCGGGCGGTAACCTACAGAAAGTTTATGATTCATTTGTTCTCTGAAGCGGCCCTCTGTACAATACCTAGAAAGGACGGTCCACGGGGTTCGATTTCCTCGTCAGTTTAAAAATTTTTTGTATTTCGCAAAGTTGACGTGCCAAATCCGGCGCAAAATGGCATTTAGAATCCAACCATCATGAACCAGAACAAATTATTCATGCCATTTTGCGCGAATTTTGGAACGTCAACTCGAAATGCAAAAATTTGTCACCACGAGGAATCGAACTAGGGACCCCTTTTCTGGTATTCAGAGGGCCGTTCAGGAAAAATTAAACATGGTTCTGTGGTTCCCGCATCTGCCCCTATATCATGCAAAAGACCGTTTTCAAAAAGCTCGTCACGCCCTGAAAGACCTTCCTGGTAAGTCTGAGCGCTCCAAAATCCTTGTTCAGGGTCACGCTGTACAACTTACAACAATCTAAATGACTAACCTGCTAGCCAGAAGCTTCTAGTTTGAGTCCAATAAAACCGTATAAGATAAGCGTGAGCACAGAAGTCGGAAGATATGTACAAGAACTTCCTATGAAAACAAACTGAATATAAAAAATAAGACGGCTGTTGGGAATTGCGCTAGTGTACGCCATGTTCTATACGCCTTCGAAGAAGTGAACACCTTCATGGCAAAATATCGTCAGCGATACGAAGAAGAACGACTAGCAATGAGTGTCGTCACGAGATTGTGCAAAATATCGGCACCTACTTAAAACGAGTATGAGCTCTGAGTTTAGAGATTCTTCAGCGGTAGATCAGCTTCAGACCGCCATCAAAATCAGACTAGCTTTCATCCATACTTGGAGAGGGTGTATGGTTAGCCGACTCTCGTTGAGCCTGAAAACAAAGGCATTATTGATTGCTGAGAAGATTTGAGCAGAAATGATACAAAGGCGAACGGCGCTGCTCCCCACGCTCAGAGCCTACTGCCCAGATCGAAATCCGCCAAGCCAACCGAACCATTCCATCCCTTCCGAATCGGATGAATGGTACCAGAGAAGTTTAAAAGGGTGACAACGCTGCTCCGCTTGTTCACTCCGCTGCCATGCTTGAGCGCTAGGGTATAACCTTACAGCTAGCACTTGCAGTCAGTCAGTTTTATTTGAAGTTACTGCTGACTAGGGCTCTG